CGGGTTGGGTTCATTCGGGTTGTGGGTTGGTCGAGTTGCGGGTCACTCGGGTTGCGGGTCAATCGGGCTGCGGGCCAATCGGGTTACGGGTCAATCGGATGCGGGACAATCAGGTTGCGAGTAGGGCGGTTCGGATTGCGGGTTTTACGGACCAGAACATCCCGTTACTTTTTAGTGATTACTAGTAAGTCATAAATCGTAACTACATAAAGCTAGCACAATACAATAAAGATCTATTAAGGAGACCACCAAGACTTGATACTAGGTAGAGAATATATCATCAAATGGACGTTTGTATGATTATATATTTGTATCGATAAAGGAAAGTGAGGAAGGAAACCATCTTGAATTGCAGTCATAAGTTAATAACCAATGATGTAATGATCAGACTTTAGTGAACAAGGATTTCAAATGTCAACTTATAGTTTATCTTCATCGAATTCATTCTATTATAGTCGGGCTACGGGTTGGTCGGATTACTGGTTCGGGTTAGTCGGATTGCTGGTCGATCGGGTTGCGGGTTGGTCGGGTTGCAGGTCGATCGGGTTGCGGGTTGGTCGGGTTGCGGGTCGGGCGGGTTACGGGTAATTGACTTTTAGTCAAATCAAGTTGCGGGCGGGTTGCGGGTCGGGGTGATCGGGCGGGTTACTCGGGTCGGGTTACATTTTGACAGCTCTAATCATGAGTCATGACTGGCATTTGCCCTAAACATTCTCATGCCTAGTATCTTGGCAAAACCGGTAATCTGCCTTGATTGTGATTTTTCATCAGTTTAATTCCTTTGTACTAGTTGATATTAAGCTTGGTGGACTTGATCAATCATTTTGTTTCACATGCTTGAAATTTGCTGCAACTGAAGCTAAGTTTGCAGCAAAGCTACCACCCCGCTAGAGAGAGAAAAAAATACTTTTTTAGAAAACAAATTCATACCTCTCGTTACAAACTCCGTACCATAAGGTATATCTTTCATTGTTACGTCATTTTTGAAAATATTTACACATAAGAAACGAGTTCATTATTATCTATTGGATTCACAAATTTCCGGGGGTAAAAATACAAGACCAAAAAATACCACCCATACCACCCGGGTATGAGAGTGGTATCTTGTGGTACACAATGTTGAAAGTTCTAAATGACAGTTAGTATATTTCAATCATTATGTATTCAACCATCCTACAATCTGGTATGTTTATATCATAATGTGGTATGCTCTTATTTAATGACAATCAATATCATATAGTATAGAATGATAATAAATGTTTTATGATTTTTTTGTTCAAAAAATATTGGCAAAATACACCTGTGTAGTCAAAACTTGGACCGTTTGGCCAAATATAGCCACTTTTAATTTGACGAGATACAAAAAATAGACACTTCCGTCCGATTCTTTGACGATGTGAATTAACGTGTTGACTGAACTAACAACAGCGATTGACGTGGCATATTTTATTCAAAAATAATAGTAGATGAAAAATAATCAAAATTTATCCTTTTATTTTAATCAAATTAAATAAAAAATTGTAAAAACATTAAAAACAACAACTTCGTCTTCTCCTGACAACTAATTCCGCCATACCCACTTCTTTCTCCATCTCTAGAAAATTTCTCTGCTCCTCCCCAGTTCCCGGAGAAGAAGATGCAAAAGCCCTTTGCTTCTGTCCAGCCGCTCTGTCGATTCCTTCTTCGTATTCTTCTTTCTGTCTGAAATCGACGGTCTTCTCACAACCCTTCTTCCACCGACTCTGTTCTATATTTCCTGAGATGGTCAGAATCTAGGAGTAAATTATTGTTCAGCGGAGTGGCGGAGGAAGGCTCCCTAGATGAGGCAAATTCGTGTTGTAGCCACATCTGTTGTTTTGGTTTGACCAAGTCGACTAGATACAGGGTTGGTCCGCTTGGGAAAGTTGACGTGTGTGGTGGCTGATGCTTGAGTTATGCTTAGTTACTGACAAGATTCGATCCCCTCACCTCGATGCCCTACTTGTAATTACACATTAGAGTCTTGTGGTAACGGCTATATATGTGGTAGGCTAGTATACATTAGACGTATACTTACCTTATCGTAAGTCCGTCGAACCATGAATTAATTAGTGTTTGGGACAAAATACTATATCCTAACCTCTAGTGAGTGAACCCCAGTCCTCGATTCTCTAACCAATATCATGAGATTCGTTTAATCTTAAGATAAAAATCAATGCTTCTGATTCGTCGAAAATAGTACAAATAATACTTGTGAACGCAGACGTATAGCATACGCGTAAACTAGCCTTTGGCGCGTATATATATATATGGTGAATACTGGTGTACGTCAGGCGTATAGTATACGTCAGTTGATCTAGCCGTTAGATGTACTTGGATGAGCTCCGGCTGATCTCAACCGTCAATTTTTGTTTTTCATTAAATCCGGTTAATTCGAGGTCTAGATATCATTTTCTTATTCAAGGTATGTCGTATCCTAAATTTTACCCAAGGTACAATAGAAGCCACCATATATATGTAGTTCAGCGTACGGCGTACGTTATATGCATGCATTCACACTACTGTATCCCCGTCGAGTTTTACAATTCAGCAAAATATATTGAAGTGCAAGTAACAAATATGAACACAGTCGTATTGCTTACCTCAGACGTAAGCTAGTCTTTGCCATATATATCCCAAATCCGAAGTTCAATTTAATTGAAAACTAATTAATCGTTGAGACTGGTCAGAGTCCATCCAAATACATTTAACGACTAGATCATGTGGAATATACTATACTCTAAAGTACACAATTTTTTTAAAAGTTGAGTTGCATACGCTTGATATCAATGGCGGTGTTTATCCTATTTAGAAGGTAAACGTGGGGAATGTGAGACATGGATTTGTGCATATATATGTAAAGGAGGAGTGGAAGACAGAGCTATTTTATCAAGGTACGTGTAGGTTTCGTTTCTTCTTTCACCTTATTTAAATAAGGGTTAATACCTTATTTTGGTCCGAACTATGACAATATAATCAACTTTGGTCCGTAGTTTAAGAAATGAACATCATGGCCTCAAGTATGTAGCTTATAGACTCAATTGGCCTGACACATTGTTTGATCATCAATTTGGATAGTCAACACCGTTGACCGTTAGTCCACACGCCATGTCATTGCCTCATCAGCCTAAAAATTATTAAAAAAATCAAAATTCCAATGTATAACATATCTTGGCATATCTTTATGATTTGTAAATTTATTATATGCATATACTATAGTCTGAAGACAATATATATAGCCAAAACCACAAATACGAATTCAAAAGTTAAAAAACTTAATTGATATAATTTAAAATGATGGAAGGGAAATATAAAAATAAATTTCTTTGATAAAAGTAAACAAAAAAAAAAAATAAACTAAAAATTTAATTAAGTAACTTGCTCCGTCCAAGGTTCAAACCCTGGTCAATGGAGGAGATATCAATTTTGATTACCTCTAGCGCTAGACTAGCACAAGATTGATAATATTTTTTTCACACGGAACTCATTATACGTATTTATACGCAATTCTTCAAATTTCGTAGAAAATTATACGTAGATGTAAAATTTCGTGGGTGCGAGGGTCCCTCGAGACCTTACCGAGCTCCGTCCCTGGTGTCGCCAACGACTATTTTCAAGCAATTTTTAAATCAAACAGTTGGAGGGTTCTATTCTATCATGATATTCTGCTAAAAATTGACTTATATTTATTTTCTTTTTTACTGTAGACTTATGAGTATAATTATTGTATTTATGCACAACGTTGTTACTGGAGTTTGAGTTTTTTTTTTTCTTTTTTCGGGCGTTTGTATCTATCCACAATGTAGCGGGGAGCATAAAACTAGTATATATGAAAATTAAAACAACGTAACTCATCCATGGGGATAATTCGTTCAGTTTCATTTTATTCCGCATCTCTTCCACCTTACATGCATATATCGAGGAGTCTTAGGCCATACACAATAGCATTTCTTTGTCAGTTAAACAAGCTCAACAAAACCTTTCTTTTTCATATCTAGCACAGCACAGCTCGTTCCCGTACTGAGCTCCATCTTTGCCCTCGCAGTTCTTACGCATCTGTGCAGTCGCTTCTTCTAAGCAGGGACCGCAGAGGCGATCATTATTGCTAGCACAAGAAGAATGTACGTAGGCGTCTGGTACTGCTCCGGGAGAAGGACGATCCTCGGTGTTATAGTACGGCCTGCAGTCGTATAAGGATGTCCTCAGGTGCGCTAATATCACTTCCTGCGCGCCTGAGATATCAGAGTCGGTCGGACTACAAAACCATACGTTGGAGGCAGCGCACAGTGGATCCAGGGCAGCTTCACCAGAGATGATCATTACACTGCCCTGGAACCCTCCGTTGATCACTGTGAGAATTAGCGACGACAACATGGAAAGTTGCATTACTACCGTGCCCATCTCTCTCTCTCTCTCTCTCTCTCTCTCTCGTCACTACAAAAATGATGAGGTTTGGGGATGACAAAAGTCGTCCCCGGAAATAAGAAAAATCGTCCCCATAGTTCTGGGGACAACTTAGTCGTCCCCAGTGTGTGGTTCCTTATACTCTTGTCCTCTATTCTTTTGGAGACGACAAAAAATTAGGTCGTCCCCAATATTAGGGACGACAGTCATCCCCATTACTCCGAGTCGTCGTCTCTTTTTTGTTCCATAAAAGACAACAGGTCGTCCCTATAACCAAAATTTTATTGACAATAATTTGTCCCCTTTTCTTTTTATAGGAGCCAGATGTCATCCTCACATGTGTCAAATTGGAATAAGCAAAACGTCCGCAAAAATTTTATTTAAGGACAAAGAGTGGTCCCTTATACGATATCTTTGGAGACAACTGGTTATCATTTTTATGAGTTTTAATGATGAATAATTGTCCCTTAAGTTATAGATTGGGACGAAAAACCAAACCAAAACTAGATTGGACCAATTGGAGACCAAATTGATCTGATCGACAATAGAATCCATTAGAATAACAAACATCAAACATACAACGATTAAATTGTTTGATTATTTTACTTCCAATTTACAAATAGAACTAGAAACACCATGACACAAAAATCACCACTACAAACATGTTGTCGTAGCATTGTTTTGGCATTCTGCATCGCCGCCGCTTCGTCTAAACGCCGCCACTACGTACCCACCACAAGTAACACTCCAGCGTACGTGACACATGCAATGTCGGCAAATCACTACTGGCTTCTTCATAATCGTCGAGTCTACAAGATAAATCAAAAGAGATAATGTCGAAAAAGGATTGACCTAAAATTAATATGGAATTAAACACCGAAAACCGGGAAAAGGAACCACTAATCTAAATCCTACCATTGTTGGACGACCCTACTGAAAGAGGAGAAGGAAGCGACAGACTGCCAGTGGACAGGGGATAGAGAAGTGCCAGTGTCAAGCAGAAAAAGAAGACCCATCCGTATACAGGAGGCGAAGACTGAAATATTGAGCTAGGGTTTCTATTGGTACTTAAAGATAAATGGACGCTTGAGATTAAGATCTATGCAAATGAACCGTTGAGATTAATTGAAGAGTTTCGGATCTGCTTTCTTACTTTGTTTTCCTTTTATTATTGGCAACTTATGCACTTCGTTGAGCTCTTGAAATGCAAAGAGTAAATCTACAAAATGCCGTTCCCAAAACCAATTACATATTCGATAGTTTTTAACTTATGCACTTCGTTGAATAATTATAGATTTAAAAAATATCCTTCAAATTAATATAACCAGCAATCTTTTTAGTTGATAAAAGAGAATCCCACACAATCTTCTCCTCTTCAGAAACTTATATTTTTGGGGACAACAAAGATATTGTAATTTTAATTAAAAATTGTTTTCTTCTTTTATGGGGACAATTTTATACCGTTGTCCATTATGCAACTTAAAATTATATTTCCTGAGACAAACTTCTATAGTCGTCTCCTAATTCTTGTCCCCAATACTTCTCAATTTTGTAGTGCGTGGTTAGGTAGCTAGCGGGCTAGCTTTATAATGTTGGGAGATGGATGAATTTTGTGGCTTGCAATATTATATCTTAGATGTGGGATAGACAGCATTCTCATCTTCGTAATAAACTAATTGGAAGAAAATCCAAGCTTGGGAATTTTAGGTTATTGATCAGCCTAGCTAAGTTCTAACGCAAACATCAATGTCCATCGCGTCCCCGTTGCACATGGATGTTGTGCAACGTACTAATACACTCTCTTAAAAGAAAGACAATCATATTATGGGATTTAACCTATATGTCTATCTTAAAATTAGGAATCCTTGATTTATTTACTCAAGTTAAGGTCGATTCTTTATTCAAGCTACTGGAACTAGTAGATAAGGAGTGTCTAATTTTGTGCTTTTTACTTGGATCGAGTCTATTTGTATATCGGAGGCAATGGCGGATACATGCATGTTGAGAGAAACGGATTGTCCAACCTCTGATAGTAGTTTGCGTATATGTAAAAAAAAATTAAGTGGTAGCGGGATATCCGTAATATTCAACTTCCTATAGTAGTTTGTGTATGAGTACATATAATATTTATGTGCTAGTCTATGTGATTTGAACTTGGGACTATACTGCTACTATTCAACTTCCTATAGTAGTAGGATATGTCGAGAAATATTTGTTAAACAGTATTGACACCGAATATATTTACCATTTTTCATAATATGAAATACGTCTGAATTTTTATTGTAACTTTTACTAGTTGGATCATTTAATTTATTTTTTAATTAAATTTAATTTTGGGAAGATTACACCCTTATGTAAACTTTTTGGATCCGGCACTGATTGGAGGTAACCTAATTTTGTGGTTTGCTCTCAAGTTTTAATTGTCTTCTTTTAGGCGAGTTGTTAGCATAGTTGGTAAAATAAGGTACGGGAAAGTTTCGTTAAGTATAAAATATGTACGGGTATTTTACTAATGTAACGTTTAATAGTATGTTAATAGTCATAAATAGATAATAAATTTATAAATTTAACTATTATAAAAATAAATAAACATATAAATAATAGTGAAGTTGAGACCACCCACTGCAAGGAGGGGAAAAGGATGGGAAGTCCCACAATAGGGGAGGAGAAAAAGGAGAAAGAAAAAGAAAAGAAGGAAAACGTAGAAGGATTTTCCCTCCACTAAAAGACAAATGGAGGAGGGGAAAAGGAGAAAGGGTGGGCGAGGCCCCCGCGTATTTTGTTTTGTTTTCCTTTTTTATTAGTTTAATTATTTTGATTAGAGATCATTGTGTCTTATGATCGACAACATATTTTTAATCATCATATTTTTCAACGAACATGTTTTCAACAACTATATTTTTTGTTATTGATAACGTCATATTTAATTAGTGATGAAAAAAGTATGTCCAAATTAAAAAAAAATTATATCGGAATATTCGCCTTAATCAATTATTATTACCTATATACAAATAATGGAAAAAATTATCTAAATAAAGTGACGAGATCAACACTTAATTGAATTTGTGAGAAAAAGACCACTTATCAATCACCATATTTTCCCTACCTGTCTATTGTGGCAAAAACCCTTTTTCCCCACTTTTCCCGCCCAAATTTTCTTCTTTTCCCTTCCACCATTATGGATGGTCTAACGATTTAATTCATTAAATACATATATTAAACGTATTATATATAATGATTTTGTACGTGTTTAGTACGGGAGCTATCAAATGAACGGAAAAATGAAACAACTTAACAATAATACGGATATGGAAGTTTTAAAGGTATAAAATATGTACGGGTACATATATACGTGTATTAAATGGAGTATTACTAGTATACGTACGGTTGACTTGAATCAATTAACAACGCTCCATTTCTTTTTTCTTACTTGACATTGAACATTTATGTAAGATTGTGAGGTTTTAGTTTCCAGTTATCTATGGGTCGTGTGGGATTCCCAATGAGCTTTAATACTCTATCTTTCTTGATAATCAATTAACCAATAGTATTTTAACGGAAGCTTAATTCTCACTATGAAATTGTGATTACTGATACATTTTAAATGACCATGGTATTTCTCTAAATGTTCGACCTATACATTAATTTTGTATGTATCATCTCGATTGAAATATTGTCAATAAAATTAAATGGATTAATAAATTTAAACATAAAAATATAAATATACCGTTATGAACGTTCCGTCCAACAAGCGGGATTATAAGCTAGTTATAAATAATGAAAATATATATAATATATAGAGAGAGAGGAGGCAAACTCTTTATTTTAAGGGGATCGTCTGCACATACAAGACAACAAAGAAATCTTACACGTCCATTTGTAAGATTGCTTTGTCTTCCACTCCCATACATATGTGCACAAATCTATGTGTCTTACATCCACAACGTTTACCCTCGAAATAGGATAAACACCGCCATTTATATCCAAGATGCAAATCAACTTCTACCAAAAGAAAAGAAATATGCAAATCAATAGTATATACTATGAGGAGCTAGAATATTAAAATAAGAGATGAGTTATTGAAAAAAAAGTATGCAAATCACTGTAGAAGAAATGTGTTCTACTTCCAGGAAATGCTACTGTGGCCGGATATCCAAGATGAAATGTTACTGTTGGAAAATAAATTGTGATGGAAGGTATAGTGAAAAATTGATAAAAATACGTTAGTATTGTATAATATCTATTTTTTATTTTTCTAAAAAATTCAAGTTATTCGAGTATTCTATTTAATTTTTCTCACAATTGGAGTTATTTATTGTTAATTGTTTTTACAGTAATTCAAGTTATCGAGACTATTTGGTTACTAAAGAGGTGATTCATGTGAAAACGATGCCAATCATCACTTAGGGTTTAGGAATTAAGGTTAGGGTAAGGGTTTACAATTTGGAATTTTGGATTGGGATTCAAAATTGAAGATTAATAGGTTAGGGTAATGCAAGGATTAGTTGTGATTCTGTGTTATACCATCATATTAGACTAATGCTACCCATTAAATTTCAAAATTTAATGTATTATGACAACTTTTAGAGTTGAATGCACCCAAACAAGTGAGCACGGAAGTAGCCTATATATATATATATATGGTGGTGTATATGTATATATAGGTGGCGATGTCTTAATTTTAAAGGGATCGTCTTGCTCATGCAAGACAACAAAGAAATCTTACACGTACCTTTGTAAGATTGCTTTGTCTTCCACTCACATACATATATGCACAAATGTGTCTCACATTCTCAACGTTTACCCTCAAAATAGGATAAACACCGCCATTTATATCCAAGTATGCAAATCTAGTTCTAGCAAAAAATAATAATAATTGCAAATCAATAGTATATACTATGAGTAGTTAGAATATTAAAATAAGAGATCTGCTATTAAAAAAAAAAGTATGCAAATCACTTTAGAAGAAATGTACTCTACTTCCGCTAAAGATAACACAGTCAGTTGGTCGGGAGTGTGATTTTTCGGACTTGAGATGTGTGAGGTCTAAGGTTCGAACCCACTACACTATTTGGTGTTCTCAGAGGTACCGCGAGTGCTGGAGACGAAGTCTCCCCCAATATCGAGTGTTAAGCCTTGAAAATGTTGCTGATACGGGTACTCCCCAATTTTAGTAGACCCCGCTGCCACGAAATGGCATGTGGGGTTGAGGTTCCTGGTCAATTAAAGAAAAGTTCTCTACTTCCAGGAAATGCTATTGTGGTCGTATATGGAAGATGTTGGAAAATAAATTGTGATGCAAGGGTATAGTGAAATTATTGATAAAAATACGTTAGTATGGTATAATATCTATTTTAAATCTTTCCCTATAATTCAAGTTATTCCAGTAACCTATTTAATCTTTTTCAATAATTGGGTTTATCTAATTTTAATTTTGTTTAGATAATTCGAATTATCGAGACTATTTGATTATTGAGAAAAGTATGTTAGTATAGTATAATATCGTTTTTTATAATCTTTTCCAATATTTCAAGTTATTCGAGTTATCGAGACTATTTTTGTTCCGAACATGTGCACGTTGAATCCAGTAATAAACAATGGCCAGATCAGATTTTCGTCTCAAATTGACCCACTCGCTTACTAGCAAAATTGGACGAATTAGCTAGGCTGATCAATAACCTGAAACTCCTAAGCTTGGGTTTTCTCCCAATTAGTTTATTATGAAGATGAGAATGCTGTCTATCCCACTTTTAAAGCAACCGAGTTCCTCCATCTCACAACATTATAAAGCTAGGCGCTTCACTCAGAACACATACTGCCTAGCTTACTAACCACAACAGTTTGAGAGACAGAGAGAGATGGGCGTGCAGGTTGGTCGCTTGGAAGCTCGAATGGCCACAGTGTCGTTGCTAATTCTGACAATGATCAACGAAGGCTTCCACGG